GGGTCTGTGGGGAATGGGCAGGGTGCTAGTGAGGGCTGAACAGAGGCAGCTTTCTTTGTGCTTAGGTGTAAGGGAACCAACATCCCACTGCTGGCCGAGAACATTCTTAAAATCTGTTCTTTTCCCCCAGATGCCAGCCAGGATATCACGGAGAGAGATGCCATGGCCTCTTGCTGCCTGTAGAGCATCCCCCAAGCACGTATGACCACACCACAGCGCTCGCTGTTGTTGCAGTGGTCCTGTCCTCGCTGTGCCTCATCATCATCACAGCCTTGTTGATGTTCAGGTGGGTGGAATGGGGCTGTGCTGCTGGAGCCATGTCCCCAGGAAGGCTGCATGTAGGAGTGGTGGGGGCAGCTGCTCCATTCTCTGAGCATCTCTGCTTGGCCTCACAGGTGTCACAAAAGGGGTGTCTATGATGTAGAAAATGAAGAAAAAATAAAGCTGGGCATCACTGTGAATCACTGAAGATGCCAGATGCTGGTGAGGTGAGCCCTTGCTGGGCGTGGGGCTGCGGTGGGGCTGCGGGTACTGCTGCGTGCTGGGAGCTCTGCTTGTTTTGCTGGCTGGGACCATTGTGTGATCCTGTGCCAGAGCCAGGCACGAGCTTGATGTGTTTGGTGGCCTGAGAGCCCAGGCTGTCCTGCTTGGGCCCAGCCATCTTTGCTTCTCATTCAAACCCCTTTCTTTTGATATTCCTGACCTTTCATTATCTAAATGGAGCTACGATAAAATAAGGAACAGTCTCTTTGGCAGTGTCTGTGGTGATAGAACAAGGGGAAATGACTTCAAGCTCAAAGAGGGGAGACAGGTTAGATATAAGGAAAACGTCTTTTACAGTGATGGTGGTGCCCAGTGACGTGGTTGATGCCCCATCCCTGGAAACTTTCAAGACAAGGCTGGATCAGACCCTGGGCAAACTGATGTCCCTGTGCATTGCAGTTAGACTAGATGGCCTTCAGAGGTTCCTTCCAATTCTGAGGATTCTATGATTCTATTGCCGCCGCCTTTACGTCCCTCCTTGTCCTATTGCTGCATGGTTTGATGACATTTAGCAGTAGTGAAACTGCTTTCCCTGCCTTCCCCGCTGCCCCCCCTGCAATTTGTTCTGTACCCTCTGTCTGATCCACTGAGTCATTTCCCCTCCTTAGATATTGCCTCTATTTATATACATATATAAAAAGCTTCCTTTTCCCTCCCACTTGTTCTTTGCTCATTACTTGCTCCAACGTAATGCCTTGCAGCTGGGCCTGGGAGTGCCCCATGGTGTTTCTCTGCCACTGTGGCTGGGTGTGCTCTTCCCATGTGGCAGTGGTCACCGGGTGCTGGGGTGCCACCAGCCTCGGCTCTGCTCCAAATCCTACGTGTTAGATGATGCGCTAAGTGCATATTCAGACTGTGACCATTTCCTTGATGCTGTGTTTCAGGGCTCGGCACTGATGCAGTTCTACCTCCTGGAAGATGCGAGCCACAGAGCCAGCACCATCCCTGGGACCCTGCAGCACAGCGGGACAGAGCTGCTTTGGGGCTGGCCAGGCAGTGGTGCCACTGCAGGGAGCTTCGGCGACCTCCGGGTGGAGGAGGCTGGGAGCAGTGCTCTCAGGCAGGCTCTGAGCAGAGCCGGCTGTGTAGGGCTCTCCAGAGGCTTGGGGCCGCCCGCTGCAGTGCATGCAGGGGAACAAACTGTGAAAGGCTTGGAGAGCAGGCTCGAGGCTTCCGTAGGCGCAGGAGGGGTGGGAGGGTAACAGCTATTTAACAAGAGAATGTTCCTTTTAAATTATATATTTATTTTAGATAAATTGTACATACTATTTATATTTATTGGAGGTCTGTCTCTGCACCCTTTGTGTAAGCCAAGATGATCCTTGTGTGGGTCAGACCTCCTTTATTTTTTAAGTGCAATGTAATATTCTAATAAATAACTTTGTAACAAACACTTGAGTTGTTGATTTAAGAGATGTGAGAAGGCGTCAGGTCTCCCAAGGCTGCAGGTGACAACTGGCCCATTCTGGTGGGGTACTGAAACCACCCAGGAGCATCTGTGGAACAGTGGTGCAGATCTCAAGCCTGCTGGCCTTGGGGTGCAGCAGGGCAGCTCCTGTTGGGGCACCCCTAGGGGGAATGGGTTATGAGGAGTGTGGTCTGCCCTGCCCCTTGGAGCTGCAGCTGTGTCAGCCCCACATGTGTTTTTGTACCTTGGCTGGCTCATGAATGGATGTGATTCTTGGGTACCTGCAGATGAAGCAAAGCCTCATTAAGTTCAGCCACTCTAATCTAAATTCAATGCAGGCAGGAACTGTTAGTAGTTTTTAGCCAGCATTTGGCTGGAGATGCTGAGTTGGAAGTCATAGCTGTTCTGTAGGAGCTGCTGGGTGAACTGAGGGCTGTAGTCACTCGTATCATTTTGGAGTGCGATTCAGAGTCCATTTCTGATTCTGTTGTGTAAAAGACTCACAAATCTATTGTACATCTTCCTTGGCCTTGTATGGGAGGAGCAGAGAGATGTGAAGCAGACAAAAATGGCTATCCCACTGCAGAAAATCTGCTTTCCTCCTGGTCATTTTGCTTTTGTAGATATCAAACTTTAATTTCCAAAAGGGAATGCTAAGTTATGTTCACGCCCCTACAATGTGTGCTAAAGTAAAGACAGTAAGTAGTCTGCAAAAGGTTTGTGTTTTGGACAAGTTTAGCCCAAACTTAGCTCTGGCAATGCATGGAATAATCTCTATGCTCAGCTGCTGCCTGGAGAAGGGATTGTGGGTTGCTTAGGAAGTGACTTTACAAGTTCAAATCTCTCGTGCAGCTGGTAAGGCAAAACCTGGGTGTGGGTAGGGGGAATGAAGCAATGCCTGGGCTCTGCAGAGCTTCCCAGGACAGGGGGATTAAAGTGCACAACTGTGGCAAATGGGAAGTGGGTTTTTAGCAGGGTGTATCTCTGTGCATTATCACCTGGAGAGCAAAAGCCCCTGGCAGCTGCAGGAAGACAAGTTACTAGCTCTGCCTTGCACAAACCTTAATGCTGGTTTAACAAGATTCTCAACTTCGGTCCTTTTAAAGGTCTGTTAAATAACTAACCTTTTCAGTTACTGAGCAGGAGGCCCTTTTGTTAAGCCTCACCTTGCTGTACCTCAGCCTCTCTGCACTGCTCCTGCACCCTGCCTCTAGCCTGGAGCACTGTCCTGCTACTCCTTGTGGGCAGCTCTGCTTGACCCAGGCTGGCAGCATTGAAAATAACCTAGCTGGAATGTTTTTCTGTATATAGCTGGAATTTTTGTGTTGATTTTTGCTCTGTATGGGAAGGCGTGAGGAGGAGGTGTAGGAGTCTGAGTGAAAGCCTTTGCAAACCCCAGGTGGGTGAACAGCAGAAATTGCTGACTGGGGGTGAGCAGGCTCAGAGTGCTCTGCACAGGGAGGAGGGAAGCACAAGGGATGCACGACTGCCGCTGCGGTCCCGTCTGTGATGGGACCAAGGCAGTCACTGTCTAGGGGCAGCAAGCTGAGGGACAGTGTCCCAGCCCTGGACCTCCTCATGTGGATGAGACTGGGAGTAGCGGAGATGCTCCCTGAGGTGGTAGCTCTGAGAGCCATGAGGCCATGTCAACACTGCTATTCTACCCTGAGCCCAGCTGCCCTCCGCATGTCTGCCATGCAGGCCTGCATCCTGGTCTGTGGGGCAAGCAGGGATGTCCAGATACCAGGGATGGTAATCTAACAGGACAGGAAATGGGAACATATTTGAAAGTGTAGAGTGGGAAGATGGCTATATCTGCCTCTGGGCTGGGAAAGGACAGGAGTTCTGTGGATACCCAGAAAGGTCAGGGATGAGGCCCCGTGGAACAGCTCTGTGCACTGTGCACTGTGGCACCATGGCAGCATTTCTGTCACCATCTGTGCCACCATTGGGTCCTGCTGAGCCCCAGGCACGGTGCAGGGAAGCTGAGCCATGCAACAGAGGCCTGTTGGCAATTCTGCAGGAATTCACTCAGGCCTCTTACTTCAGCAGCTGGGCCTGGCCGCACACCAGGGGCTTAGTGGTGAGGCCTCTGGGTGCCTGCCCCTGCTCCCCCAGCCCTGGACCCAGGATTACAGGCAGGTGCCTGGAGCAAGATACTGAGCCCTGTCACCCAGCCTGCCTCCCTCAGCTACTCCGTCCCACTGCTGGCACTCTTTGTGCCCCAGCACAGAGCCCTGCGACCTGCAGCACACTTCCTCCTCCATGAGCACTGGCTGTTCTCCAGAGCGAGGCTCACAGGCAAGCAAAATCCCACCTTTGGATTTAATTTAAAAACAAACAAACAAGAAAAAACAAACCCAAACCAACACAGTGTGTTACAGCAGCCTGTTTGATAACCAAGCGCCTCTGGCCTGTGCAGAGCACCTCACAGCTGCAATCCGCACCACCGCCCTGGCAGCGGGCGGGAGCAGAAGAGCTGCAGCACTGCAGGAGCATGGCTCAGACTGCGCTTCTGAGGGAGGCAGCCAAGGAGAAACACCAAAAGCTGTCCTTGCTTTCTCCCTCTGGGAATAGTCACAGCCCTACAAGTGGTTCCATTCCTTCCAGAGGAGGACCACTCGTGGGATGCTCTGGGGGCTGAGCACCTCTCCTATGAAGTCAGGCAGAGGGAGCTGGGCTCATTCACCTGGAGAAGAGAAGGCTGTGAGAGGACCTCATTGCAGCCTTCCAGTATTTTAAAGGGGATTATAAACAGGAGGGGAATCAACTTTCTACTCGGGTGGACAGCGATAGGACAGGGGGGAATGGTTTTAAGCTCAAGGAGGGAAGGTTTGGATTGCACAGCTGCACACAGGGCTGTGGATGCCCCGTCCATCCGTGGAGGTGTCAAGGCCAGGTTGGATGGGGCCCTGGGCTGGTATTAAACGTGCAGGTTGGTGGCCCTGCCTGCGGCGGGGGGTTGGAACTCGATGGCCCTCGAGTCCCTTCCAACCCAAGCCGTTGTACGATTCTGCGATCCGTCCGTATTTCCTCCCGCCCCGCCCTCCCACCGCGCAGGCGCCGAGCGAGGGGAAGATGGCGGCGCCCGTGGACTTGGAGCTGAAGAAGGTAACGGGCGTCTGGCTCTATCCGACGGGTCTCTCGGGCAGCCGCTCCCCTCTCCACCCCCTCCCGGCCCCCTCTTCACCCTCTCCCCGCAGTCTGGGCCGGCTCGGCCCGGCCCTACCCGCCCTTCGGCACCCGGCCGGGCCGCGGCCCCTCGATGTGCCGCTCTGCCCCCGCAGGCCTTCACGGAGCTGCAGGCCAAGGTGATCGATACGCAGCAGAAGGTGAAGCTGGCCGACATCCAGATCGAGCAGCTGAGCAAGACCAAGAAGCACGCGTACCTCACCGACACCGAGATCATGACGCTGGTGGACGAGACCCGCATGTACGAGGGCGTGGGCAGGATGTGAGTAGCGGCCCCCGACCCGGCGCTCTTGTCGCACGCCTTAAACCTGCATAAGGGGCTTTGGTTGAATTTGGCGGCACGGCTCTGACTGTAGCAGCCTCGTGAAGAGCAGCGTGCAAGCTAGTTTCCAGTCTGACTTGTGTGCTGACTCGCTGCGTGGCACGCTGACCTCCTGTGTGTGTTTTTTCTCTTGTGTTGTGATTTGGGCAACAGCAATGATTACACTTACTCAGGGATGTGGTTTTCTAAAAGGCTGATATGATTGCTGCCCAAAGGGGTGATTGCATCTCGCTGTTCCTGCTTTCCTTTGGGCTGCAGTGGACCTGTAGCTGGTTGGGCCTGCTGATGCAGTGAGCTCCCGGACCTGATTTGTGTCATCACACAATCTATAGGGTGAGTCTTAGGGAGCTGGCAGGCTGGGAAGCCAGGAGTGGTGTGTGGACTGCACTTCACTGGCAGTTGCCAGGTGAGACCAGTGAGCAAATGCAGGTGTGCCTGGGTTCATCCTGGGCAGATTGATGTAGTAGTTGGCAGCCCTGCCTGCAGCAAAGGGTTGGAGCTCAACGGTCGCTAGGTCCTTTCCAACTGAAGCTGTTCTATGGTTCTGATGGAGGTGTTCAGTGTGTCAGTCTTCTTTGGACCAGGGTGGTGTGGCTCCAGTTAAGCCTTTCCAAGTGGGTGAACTTGGGTTTGTGTGGAGATGCTGGTGATGCTGAAAGGAAATGGATTTTGATCTCATGCAGGAGATAGCTGATGTGACCCAGGCAGGTGGTAGGCTGGTTGTTTTTTTCACAGAAAAGACAAACTAAGAGTAGATTCTGGAATCAACAATTTTTCTTTAGAGGTTTTTTCGTTTGTTTGGTTTTTTTTTGTTTTTTGTTTTTTGTTTTTTTTTTTTTTTTTGTCTCAAAGCAGGGTATACTTCTTCAGTATGAAATAATTCCTCAAGATTCTTTGAAAACATGAGTATATTGGCCTTTATGGTAAAATGATGTTGCTTGTGAATGAGATTGTGTTTTTGTGCTAGCTGAAAAGTACTGTCCTACTTTTAGCCCAGCTGCTGGAGTGCAGTCTTTTTGGGGTTGTTCTCTTGCTTACCTTCACATGACCAGGCAGGTGGTTCAGACCTCTGCTGATGGTAGAGCTGCCATCAGAAAAATACTATCTGCATGATATTAGTGTTCAAATTTTTGAAATCTGTACTCCTTGTGGGTTTTGTTGTGCTAGTTACTATGCAAGCTCAGATTAAGAGTGCTTGTGCTCTCCATGCTGCTTATTTGCTGATTTGCTTTACCATTTTTTTCCTTCTTCTTCATTGGTTGATGCAGCGTTTCTGTGAGCAGTGCCTATTCTGGCCGTGGGGCTTAAGCCTGCCTTGCAAATTGGTAGTTGCATTTGGGCATGCTCAGTATCATTCACCAGCAGAGTGAATTCACACCAGGGACGCAAGGCTCTTACCAGAGCCCACTCCAACCCTTTGTAGAGAATTTCTGGCTGAAATCTGGGCATTTGGTAAAGTTGGCTGAAGCTGTGCTTGTGCAGGAATTAAAGTCCAAAGGCAGTTTGGCATCTTATATTCCCCTAGAGACCAAAGAGACCAAATAACTGCCATTGCAGTTATTCTGGCTGCGTGGTTTTTGTTTGGTGGAGTGGAATTTTTAATTTGTTGGCATTTGTACAGATTGGAGATTTCAGCTACCAAAGGGATGTTACGGTGCATCCAACACTTATGATCTCTGTCGTGTAGTTTAGCATCATCTCATGTGACAAAACAGAGATACAGGTGTTTACTGTAAGTAGTGTTGGAGCTCTAGTGGGTTTCAGCTATCCAGAAGAGATGAGTGTCTGCATCAGTGTTAGCTATGATGACTGGTGATGTTCTGACAGCTTGTTTGAATAGCTGAATTATTTAAAGTGGGTTTGGTGCTTCTGTTCCTGCATTCAACTTCTACCTTGTTAGAGAGGTGATTATTCCCCTCTGCTCTGCCCTCATGAGGTCCCATGTGGAGTGCTGTGTCCAGGCCTGGGGCTCCCAATTAGAACAGATGTGGAGGTTTTGGAAACGGTCCAGAGGAGAGCCATAAAGATGCTCAAAGGACTGGAGCACCTCCAATGAAGACAGACTGAGAAGTCTACGCTTGTTCAGCCTGAGGAAAAGAAGGGGGGCCCTGTTATGACCAGTCCAGTATTTAAAGGGAAATTGTAAATAGGAGGAAAATAAACTTTTTATGCGGTTAGATGGGGCAGATGGTTTTAAACTAAAGGAGGAGATATTTAAGTGAGATGTCAAGGAAAAGTTTCTCTAGAGAGGATGGTGAGGTGTTGGCACAGGCTCTCACAGAGGCTGTGGATACTCTGTCCCTGGAGGTGTTGAAGGCCAGATTGGATGAGGACCTGGATAGCCTGATCTAGTGCTTGATGTAGTGGTCAACAACCCTGCCTGCAGCATGGAGACTTGAACCAGTGATCTTTGAGCTCTCTTCCAACCCAAACTGCTCTATGATTCCAATACATGCTGTGTGCATGGGAGCAGTGCATAAAATTGCATAAAATTCTGTGGAATAAGCTACTCCAGGGAAATGTAACAATTTCACAAATTACGTTTGTGAAAATGTAATGCTTGAGGAATGTGATGGTGTGATGCATCCTGGGAGGAAGTCTGCCTAGTTCCATACTTGCTTCTGCACTACTTGAAAAGAATTATGTGGTTTCTGCTCTAAGCCCTGAGCCTGCTTCCTGCCTGAGAGGCTTTCCCTGCGCCCTGGCAAGTGTGGAAGTCCATTTGTTGTTCCTAAACATTTACTGTAGCTAATTTTGGTTTAACACAAGAATCGTCAGTGCCACATAGTATGAGATGATGAATTGCTGTGTACTGTATATATCTGTTAGACTAGGATATCATCTGAGTAGTGACATCGTGCCAAATACATTTTTATTTTCTTACTTCATGCTCTTTGAAAGGCTTGTTACGTAGCCTGATACAACTGCCACTGTGGTGGACTCCTGCTTAAGCTATTTGTGAACTGATATCATCGTGCTGCTTTGAGAACTATGCCGAAAGCTTAAGCTTCAGAATTTTGTCTGAATGCTTCAGACCTTTCTCTTCACATTCCTTTGAATGATGACCTGGACCAGCTTCTTATTTACCAAAGAAAAACATCAGGGGCTTATGCTGGGCGCAGTGAGGAGACCACTGCAGTTTTTCACGCCATGCCAAAATAGATGTTCCATTTTGTTTTGGTGTTGCTTTATCATTAGTGTTCTCTCATTTGTTGTAGAAGTAAAAATCAAGCAAATACTGTAGCTTTTGCAGAAAACCTTGAACATAAATGTGTATACTATTTCTATGGAGATTTTTTGGCAGAACCATGTGTGAGTGAAAGCTGAGAGAGGATTAAAGGTTTTGGGGTATTTATTGGGTTTAAATGCACTCCTGTTATTTAGTGTGATTCTGGATTTTGCTTCTAAATAAGACATCACAAATAATTGTAAACTTTTCTGAAGATTTTCCAATGGTGGATTTTTGGATACAGCAGGAAGAGCTGATTTTTGTTTGTTTTGTTCTGTGAATGTTTGGTTCTCTGAGGACAGATCACTGCAGCATGTGGTAGCCATCCTCTGCTTCCCGATCACGTTTCCAAGACTCAGTAAGAACTGAAGGACAGGCAAGGCTCTGTATTTATGGTTCATTACTACCTATAGGTCAGCCTGTGAAATTCAAGTGGCCATCAGAAGTGTGAAGCTCACTTATCTCGCTATTGAAAAAGTAAGGGTTTCATTTTCCTCATAAAGTCTGGTGTGTCCAGAGAAGTAGAAGAAAACAGAATTTGTGTCCAGCTGTTTGCAGTTGGACCACTGTTTTTACGGTGTGTTGAACAAGACGTTCATGTGGCACAAAAGGCTTACAGGGCACCATAAGTGGGTGGGTTCTGTGTCGCTGCCTTCATTTCACTGTAGCTTTGTCCTGATTTTTTTTTTTTTTTTTTTTTCACTTCATATCGTTGCAGTCTGAACAGTGCTGCTTACCATGTTATGGGTGAGTGTGGGTGTAGTAGTTGTAGGCTGTCTTCTGGGAGCTGTCACAGGGAGCTGAAATCAAAATGAGGTGCCAGGTAATCTGGTATGAGCTTTTACAGGTGTCTGTGGCTTGAGCAGTGCAGTCAGTGGCAGCAGTTGTTTGCTGTCCTCTTGTTGGCTGATGTGTAGTGCAAGAGAAGGGTGTGCTTGGTCAGTGGTTCTCATAGTTAACTGCTAGCAATAGTGGGATCCTGGGGCTTTGTATGACTGAATTCTGTTCAGGATCAGAAAGAGAGTGTGTTCAGGTGAGCACAGACTCCCATTTTAGCTTGGCATCTCTTGGTGTTTTGAAGACTCTCTTCTTTCCCGCTCTCCCATTTAGTTCTTGATCTGTGCCTGCTGCCTTGGGCTGCTCACATGCAGTCTCCTGGATATCTTGGTCCAGTTGTAGCTCTCCTGCCTTACTGCTTCATTTAATTTCTCCATGAAGTATTGAAACTTCAAAGAAGAAAAGTTTTCCATGACTTGCATGCAAGATGTATATCTGCTTAGTTCTAGGGAGTAGCTGTATTTCTTCAAAGAAATGAATCTGCTTTAAATGGGTGTGAAATGGGTACATCAGATAAGTCAGTGTTTGTCAAATACTCAAATACATAATCAACAGGAAAAAAAAATCGTAAAAATAGTAGCTGTCTTTAAAAGTATGTTTTACTCAGCGCTGCTTGGAAATGAACATGTCTGTTGCATGCTCCCACCTATTCTGTGAGAACTGTGATAGAAGGTTGGTGAGCCAATGATGCAGTTTTTATGTGAAGTTCGTCTCCTTTGTCTGGAAATTTCTAACTCTCTTTAAGCTCATATTTGCTTTGATTCCTGGATATGGCTTTCAGACAAATTAGTTCAGTTTGTTTCTTCTCTCTCCATAGCATTTTCCTGGTCTTCTACCAGGGCAGTATAGAGGAGTAGGCTACCTTAAAGGGGAT